TATACAAACATATAATAATTGCCGTTGGAATAGATATACTGTATACAGACGGATAATTGTTAAACCGTTTGTATAAACTAAGTCTATACTAACGGCTATATTTTTCCGTTAGTACAGACCCAGGCCTGTACTAATGGATATATTTTTCCGTTGGTATAGACCTATGTTGTCACGCCCCAAAACCCAATTTCGAGACGCGACAGACGTCGTGCACTCATGAGACGGATCCCATAAATGCACAAGGTTCGGAACTTATCATATCACACTCTGATACCACCAAAACTGAAGATCAAATCTTTAAAATTTCTCCGATATCATAAATCTCCAAGTACACTCTAGCTTACAAGATCATGATTTATTTCTAAAAATCTATATTAATCTCGTAATGGCTAGCTTTCTAACTCGTCACTTCCCGTGGTTTCCCCGTCCTCGATTTCACATCCTGAAATGGTGGACAAGGAAAAACTATGAGATAAACTCAGTAAGTAAATATGGAGTGCCCTTAATTAAACTTGTAGCATGCCAACAAGTACAATCACGAAAACAGATACGGTACGGGAACGAAATAGACGTCTCCTCCATAAGTCACGGCCAGCGTTTATAAACCTCCCACTGGCGGGCCACAGAAATTACTAGTGTTTAACCCCCACTAGTAAGGTTACAGAAACGAACCGGTTCTATCAGTAACATGTCGACATGTGCTAGTGTTTAACCCCCACTAGTAGGATTACAGAAACATGTGCTAGCGTTTAACCCCCACTAGCGGGATTACAGAAATAACATGACCATATCGGAGACAAAACAAGCTGAAGTTAACAGAAAAACATACTTTACCAATCACTTTCAAATCATCAGGACAATCAATCAAATTTCAAGTAGGCATGCTCAATTTAATGAAAAGCATAAAACATTTCACTTCAAATCAGTCATGCTCGTGTAAAACGGGTTTAGTCCCACCACCATTTCAAAAACAAATCAAAACATGCTTTTAAAACAGTACGGGCATTACCATAAATTTACTTACCTCACTCGCATAAAATCGAGCACTCAATTCACGTACTAAACTGACAGAACGATCAAGAACCTAATCAAAAATCCGAGAATCAATACCGGACTATTACAAATTCAAGGTAAACTCATCATTAGGATCATTCCTAATCACAATGCTATTTCCATAAATCTCCACATGATCAAATATCTCTAAATTCGTTCTTATATCACAAACTAATCATTTAAATCCCCGTTAATTGTTGGCCCTCGGGGGTGTGAACAGTAACCGGTGAATAGTGCCGGTGAACAGTGACCCCAACATGAACAGTAACTCTACTTCCACAAATTGGCCAAAACACTAGCTAATCTCACGGGATTTTCTCCAAAAATCACAACAACCATCTAACACTCAATCACATAAATCTCACTTGAATTAAGCAACAAAACACACTTAAATCCCTCTTAATTGCTATCGGAATTTCCCCATTTCCTAGCCAAATTCGGACATCACAAGCAGCAACTTTAAATGGATAATTTAAGCCTTAAAAGGCTGTCACATACCATAAATCCAGCAAGCAAAATCGGAGTGCAGATTGGGGAAGGCCGGCGGAATCTACAGGGGGAAGCTCACGGATCTACCCAAAATTGAAGGAAATAAGAGCACTCAAAGTTAACCCAAGCCAATTCAAGCAAGAACAAAGGAATTAGGGGCTGTTTCTTACCCAAAACCGGAGCAAATCACACCCCACAAGCAAGAGCAGCCGGCGGACAGGGGAGGAAGGACAGAGCAGATCCGGAAGCTTCCTGCAGGGGGGAGATTTCTGGGTTCCAAATCAGGTTCTAGAACAAGAAAATAAGGCAAGAACCATCAAGCTTCACCGGTTTCTAAAAGCATGGCTGGTTCCCCTTTTTTTTTTCTTCGGGTGGCTGCAGCGGGAAGAAGAAGAGCAGAATCGGGAATGGCTGGGAAGAAAAGAAAGAAAGAAAAAGAAAAAGAAAAGAAGTCATCCTTATCCAAAATCT